TTTGTCGTCTCAGCGTACGCACCTACGAACTGTAGCCCAGATACAGTCAAAGATACTTTCTGCCAAAAGCTACACGACCTCTTGCGTAAAGCGACAGGGATGACATCGTGATTTTAGCTGGAGATGTGAATGTTAGAGTAGGCCGACTGATTTCGAGTGAGGCGCATCTGGGTGGTCCTTTCGGACTAGATTCCTGTCGCTCGGAAAGCGGGAAATGGCAGCTGGCTCCATGTTCTGACAAACCCCCCTATTCCTAGCCAGTACGAACTTTAGACGCTTCAACTGCCAATAGGCCACTTGGCGTCCACCCTCCTCGAGTCAGCAACAAACGCAGATAGACCACATCGCAATAAGACACAAATGCCGGGGTTGCATTCAAGACTGCCAATCGTGCTGGAGCACTACCGTCGAATCCGATCGCGCGTTAGTTTGCACCAAGCTGTTCATGTGCTTTGGTGGGCGTCCTAAAAGTACGACACAGCGGCGGTTAGACTGCGATAATTTGTCTCAACCAGCATGCTTTCAAATCGCACTAGTTGAAAAGCTAGAACCAACCCCACCTGATAACGTCAGTGCGCACTGGTCGCTTATCGAGAATGCTCTGCATTCTGCTGGCCTAATTAGTTGTGGTCTGACACGCCGTGTCGTGACACCCTGTATTTCCGCTGAGTCTGTGAGCCTTCTCGACGCACGTCGGTCACTTCTGAGGGGCAGCGAGCATAACGTAACACGGCTTGTAATGAGATGTGAACGTAAGTCTATTCAGAGATCGCGAGGTCTGGTGGTCTCAACGCGCATCAGAGATAGAACGTGCTGCCGCCATGGGGAATTCTCGTAAGCTGTCCCATCTCATCCGAGTCACTGGTAAGAAAGCCTTGGGTGCAAGCGAGACGATCTATTCACAATCAACAGCGACGGCTTGGACGCTGGGCGGAGCACTTCAAAGCACAATTTAGCTAGCCACCTGCGCCAGCTTCTCACACAGCTATTCCGGCACACTTCCCATGGTCTGTTCCAGAGGCGGAAATCCGTAAGGAGATCCAAGCCTTGGGACGTCACAAAGCGCCGGGCTCCGATGGCCTCTTCCCATCTCTATTTAAAGATGGTGGGATAAAGGTTGTTAGAGTACTCCACATCCTGTTCTCTAAAGTTTGGAACACTGAACAGGTCCCCTCTTTGTGGGGGTAGTCGATTGTCGTCCCCATCTTTAAAAAGGGTCCGCGCAATGATTGCACCAATTACAGGGGTATAAGCTTGATCTCAATAGCGTCAAAGCTGTTAGCATCCGTCATTCTTCGTAGATTGTACAAAACGCGCGTGGATCATGCCCGTGAGGAGCAGGCTGGGTTTTGTGCCGGTCGTGGCTGCATCGATCAAATCTTCACCTTCCGACAGTTGCTTGAGCACCGTCATGCTTATCAAAGACTATTGTGTTCTTAGACATTCTGTTTATAGGACCGCACTACGGAGGTGTTTGTTGAAGAATGGAGTACCAGAGAAGTGTTTGTCGATCCTCAAAGAGTTGTATCATCATTCCTCAGGTCGGGTTAGGGTTTATGGCCAGCTTTCACCACCCTTCACCGTCTCCAATTATCAACATTTTGTCAATATCGCCCAGTGTTTCTCACTGTTAAAATTATCCTGAGGATCCCATTCAGGAAGCCTCACGCGATCTATGTGAGCAAGTCTCCTTGTTCGGCTTTTTATAACCCCATACCAGGGCTTAGTTTAATCTCCCTTGACTTTTTCCATGTGCTGCCTACCTCGGCAAACATTGCGCACTGTGGCAATCTATTTAATGATGTGCGCAAGGCATTTCCCAACCCGTGTCATCAGTGCCTCTTTGTATCCAAGCCCTGATCAAGGGAAAAGCGGCAAAAGCTGACGAACTTTCTCCTATTCTTTTCAGGATGGGGGCGATAACCTCGACGATTCCATTACTGATTTACTGCGTAACGTCTCGTTGCAAGAGCGCATTCCTGCATGTTGTAGCTAATCGCCGGCCGTTCCAACTTTATAGACGTAATCTCGCTACGACTGCACAAACAACCGCGGAATAAGTTTGATCCCAGTCGTCATCCAAGTGTAGGTTCTGTCATACTTCGACGTCTGACGTTCGTCAGGGAGACAAATATCCGCGAATAGAAAGCGGGGTTCCAACCATGCCGCAGTTGTATCGATCACATCTTCCGGTTGTTTCAGCTTCTCCAGGTACGTCGTACTGACCAGCGGTTATGGTGTTCCTTGGCTAAAAAGGAGCCTTCGATTCAGTTCACCAGTAAGCACTTATGGATTCGCTTTTTCGAGAAGCGATTCCGCTCAAGTATGTGAACCTACTCAGGGGTTTAAGGCGAGCTGTGCAGATCGATGGACCGTAGCAGCGGCGTTCGCCAAGGATGCCCTATTTCGTCATTCGGAGTCGTTGACATCATCATTTTGCACTTTGATGGTGCCATGCGCATACCAAATGGAGTTACAGAACTTGAATATCTGTCAAGAGCACTTTGCACATACTCCAGAAATTGTAACAGACAGGCGATGCAATCGGCACACTCTAAATAGCATCGCTCTTCTCCACCTGCCCATTCAGTACCTACTTTATGAAAACCGCATATTGTGTTCTCCATTATCTCGTCTAAAACGATTTTCGATAAAACTGGTGAGATAAAGCACCCTTGACGAACACCGCAAATGGTTTCGAAGTATTTGCTTAGCCCACCGTAGGCCCTTACGCCACCAAAGTACGCATGTACAGCGATCGCAATAGGTTTACATACGTCCGTGGCATTCCTTTGCGAAGCAGTGAACCCATAAGAGCTTCACAGTCAACGGAATCGTAGGCTCGTTTTAGGTCAAGGAACACTGCGATTGTTGGTGGACCATGTATGTGGCGTAATCCGAGGACTTTGCGCAGAGTGAAGATTTGGTCGATGCAACTACGACCTTGTTAGAATCCTGCTTGCTCTTCGCGAATATTGGTTTTCCTTAAAGGTGTGCAGGCGGCGGAGTATCACAGAAGTCAACACTTGTGATGATAAGAACTCAACTTTTCTCGCAATGGTTTGCGCACTTGTCGCAGGATCCCTTCTTAAGGATAGGAACGATCAGTGATTCACCTCATGACAAAAGGATACGCTCTTCCAACTAGATACTATGAGGTAAGCTAGCAATTGAGTCAAAAAGATTCGCCACCCGGCCTAAAAATTAGGGGGAGAAGCCCGTCAGGTCCCGCTGCCTTCCCATTCTTTAGCGACTGAATGCAGGTTCGTATTTCTGGTTCTGTTGAAGCTTCACCGCTCGTGGAACTTCCCGCTGCAGTCGCTGAACTGACCGCGTTATCACTAGGAGAACTGTACTATTCACCAAAATACTCTGCAAAGCGATCAAATCGTTCATTATTGTGGGTACTCTGTCCACCTTTATCGCAAATGGTCTCGCTGAGCGGTACGCGTCGACTTTCAGTGCTGTATATCGAGCGAAACAATCGTTGAATATTCCCTGATGCAGAAGCTACCTCCAATTCATCAGCTATTTAGGTACACCAGTTTTCGCCATCTTCCTTAGGGCTTTTCCTGAGCTATCATTTCAAACGCACATCACACGCTTGTTGACCCACCGGCATCAGAGTCCTCACTTTGAAGACCCCCCAGATTCAGAGGTTAACGAGGCTTCAAAATATGCAACTTTCTGGTACACTACTTACAGTACTATTTGTTAACGAGCTATGGTGAGTGGCAAACAAGTTTTTTGATGCACTTTTACGGGTCGGAAGTAGAGGCAAAGGAAGAGGATTGGGTATAGAAGGCAGTAGTTCACTTATCACTATCCACTCCGCTCAATCCAATGGGTACCACGGTTCTGATTGTCCAACGGGACTACCGATACAGTATGAAATTATTTTTATTTTCTATGTTCATTGGAGCCTTATGGACGGGTACTGCCAAGGTTCCCAGCCACTAAGCAGAACGATTATGGTTCTCAACCCAAACCTTTAGTTCTGACAAGAACCCAACCACAAGGTAGCGGGTAAGGTGGAGTGGAGACCCATCCTCCAGCACTTTTACCGACTTAGACGCCGATTCGATTCAACCCACAACCAGGAGACGACTTTGTTTGACCTCTACCCTTGACCTTCCAGGTATGATTAGATCTTTGGTTCAACAAAAGTCATCCAGTATAGCTCGTTGGGTCACAGAGCCGCACAAGCCATCACCAAGTCAAGGTGTAATGTCGTCTTGATGGAATCAATTAAAATCTCTCTATCTCGTTGAATTCAGCTTTGCTGTCGTCCGGTTCAGTGTGATACCTAACTTAGCGGGGCCTTATGTGGTTCAGCACTCCAAGTCCCAGAGCTTGGGTTACCGGTTTCCGTCACTGAACAGTAAGTCTTCGTGATTATGTGGTCCACTTCGTCTACTGTTCATCACACACAAATGTGAGTAATAAAAAATAAGCTTCATTGATTAGGATACATTTCGTATATGTCTAACGGTCGAGTGGCGCACCGTGGTAGGGTTCGCCGCGAGCGGTTATGACAATCTGGGCGCAAGATGAAAGTTTTCACCGAGCTTGGCAATTCGTTTGCAAATTTTTCAAATTTGTCAATCGTTCAGCTCGGCGAACAGGTGAAATGGGATTCGGTTCACGCGACCTATGAGAACCAATCTTCAATACTTTGTCAACAAATGAAAGTCTGTTTATTCTGTCCAATCGCGATTACTAGTTGATAATGTTTGACCTCAATTTTACTCGCAACGTGGTTTGTCTATATAGGTTAGTTCATTTCTCATACCGATTCACCTTGTGTTGTCACGCGACTGACCAGTTTGCTGTCTACCACCTACCTATTTGTTCGATCAACGAGAAAAAAGTAAATCGAAGAGTTAAACACCCCGATCATTATCCAGACTAGACCGTCCTAGATACAGACTTATAAGACTGATCAACCGGGCGATTAATCTGATTGAGCCATCTGGTACACATACAGATCAAAATGACTCAGATTGGCCTGGTATTTATTCGGTTACATGGGTGGCACTCGTGATGTCTCCGATCTTAAACAGACCAATAGTGAGGTGCGTATCCTGCACTTTCGACCTCCAACTAATGCCCTCGAATGTTGCCTGCTTCACTGGAAACCATAACAAATAAACTGTAACTTGTGTTCGCCAACCCGTTGCCAATTCCACTTGTGCTGCGATTGTAGTCTGGCCTATAGCTGTTTAGACATATTCTTGTGATACCCATACGAATTCACAGTAAGACAAAGGTCTACAGATGATCACGACTCCTGCTCTAGATATTTGGCATTTTTATTGATTAGGTGCTTCTCAGCGTAACCACCGAAGTCCACAGTTCAGTCTTCGAACTCGTAAATACTGGTACTTCCACTTTCGGTTACGCGCTTCTTCGTTGTTCTTTTGGTTATTCAAGAAACCAATAGGGATGGGGTTCCGCTTCAACCAAGTGAGATTTCTTACTGTCGTTTGTTTCCATTATCTACGGATAATCACATCAGTCAAATATTTCTATTTGAGTGATCTATCTGAGACTAATCTATCTTATCCGAAAAGTGCACTTTCGGACAGCGCTTCTTGAACCGAGGTTAAAACACAAAAGATTACGGACGTCTTGAAATCAAACAATTTTTCCTTCGAAAAACGATCTAACAAACACGGTCATTTTTTTCCGATGTTATGTACTTCAAATGTGCGATCTCACGGAGCTTGACATTTCATACATTCTCGGTGGTGGTGGCGCAGTGGTTTGGCCACTGTTACTCGCATGCTTTGAACCCTATGGTCCGAGGTTCGAGCCCCGCAACCGCCACCTAACTTGGGTGTTAGCTTCGCTGTCGTCCGGTTCAATACCACGCCTAACCTAAAGGGTCCTTGTATGGTTCACCATTCCAAGTCCTGAGGCTTAGATGACCGGTTTTCATCACTGAACAGCAGGTCCTCGTGACTATGGAGTTTATCCTGTCTGCTGTTCATCGCACTAAGTTGCGCAATTAAAAATAATTGACTCTCCAATTCAAGTTCATCTGGTGCTGTAATTTTTGCCAGATAATCATTGCCCTTCGCCCGAAATTCATAACATTTAATTTTTCTGCACGCTCCCATCAGCACATGCACGATAAACGTTTTGTTAACACTTGTTCCATTTTTTATCCGAAATGCTCACTCTGTAACCTGGTTTACATTCATACGCATTGCATATAGGTGTACTTTGCCGAAGTTCCCGAACTTGTGCGAACTCGTCGAGTTTACGTGAGTGGTGGTTATGCGTATGTGCCTGATCCGGATCTGGTCTCCCTGGTCGTGTCACATTTTCGCACATCCCTGTCCTGCAATCTGGCACGACTAGGCCTTACTCTGACTTCCAAACTGGCATCCGAGGAGAATCGAGTGTTACCTCTGTTGGCTTCCCTGTCCAGCCGATATCTGGGCGAGGATTATTCCGCAAAAGCACCGACAATGGGTATTATCAAAGCGGAACAGATTGACTCGTTGGCCAAACAGCCGGGAGTGTTCCCCCCTTGTATGGCTCAGTTGCACGAGGCACTCAAAACACAACATCATTTGCGCCATGCCGGAAGAATGCAGTACGGATTGTTCTTGAAGGTAAATTTTGTCGTCAGTTTGTACCCGGGGGGTTTATCGTGATTGTTAGTTTTTTTTTAAATTTTAAATGGCCTTTCGTTTTTTCTGTTTGTTCTGCTTCACAATCCCCTCCCTATTCACCTAGGTATAAGGAGCAAAGCTTCTACCTTTATGAAGATAGGTCCCCTTTCAAAAGAAGATTCGGATTCAGGTCAAACTCATAATTTCACACTGGTTCAACACTTGAAAGACGTGTAGCGCATGCCAAACAAACCTAAACTAACACTTTGTGTCTCGAAAATTTCGTTAGCACTTGCGTACTCGCTCAACAGTACCATGTCATTTGCACAACAACAGTATTCTTCAGCGCATACACAAATCATATCTGAAGGCTTACAGAAAAAGTTTTCTTAATGAAATCGAACAAATCGGCGCTAAATTCGAACCGAGAAACCGAATTTCCGTTCGTGAACAGTTAAACCTGACTAACGATCACACCGATAAAATCCACTTGGCGTCCGTCGACCTCTCGGTCAAGGACAAATTTCAAACTAGACTGTATCCCTGGGTATTGAAAAGCGGGACGTCATTCTCGCTCGTGGTTGCTTTCATAAAATGCATCTCCTGAAGTAAGACTGATCGCTGATCAGATTGATTTCACTATGAAGTGAAAAGACAAACGCCAGCATTTGGTTTGATGACCAGCTAGTTCATCTTTTTTATGACACACCTAAGTATGATGAACAGCAGATTGGACGAACCCCATAATCACGAGGACCTGCTGTTCACTGGTGGAAACCGGCAACCTACGTCCCGGGACTTGGAGTGGCGGACCACATAAGTCCCCTCTAGGTTAGGCATGGTATTGAATCGGACGACAGCGAAGCTAGATCTGCCTACCACCAGAGTCGGGTGGCGGGACTCGGATCGTAGGGTTCAAAACACGCCGGTGTCAGCGGCTAAACCACTACCCTAGAGAACTAGAAAACTCTGATTCCAGTTCCTTCATCAACAGGCTTGGTTTCGATGATCACCGGTTCGATCGGGTGCCATGAGCGTGTGAACCACACCTGTCAGCATTTCAGCCTTGAGCAAGCTATAGACTGGTCTCTTTGGTATGAAGATAGTCCATCATGATCTTTGAGATGGCCTGCAAGCAAATATATAAGTGTAGTGATAAACGCCCTTACTGTTCTCTGTGAGCACGAAGTCAGGAACAAATTCAATCAATGACTTGCACCCATCTACTACTGTTTTCCATTTCTTCTTTTCACCGGTCGTTTTGATAAATTCGCACTGGAGATGCTTTCACTCCTTAGCGTCGCTCTATTTATTTAATTCTTCTGCAGCATTGTTTCCGTCTCAGAGTGCGAACTTTGTGTTGACATTTCATTTATTTATGACTTCAACGGGAACGGTTTTTCCACCAGGGTATTGGCGTGCCTTTGGAGGAATCATTGAAGTTTTGGCGCAATTCATTTGCCCCAAAGTATGACAGTGACCAATTTGCCAAAAATTACGCCTACAACATACGCCACAACTATGGAAAGGAGGGCAAACGAACTGACTACACTCCGTATTCGTGTGTGAAGGTAAGTGGTCAAGCGCGATCGCTGTTTTTTCTTCCCTTTTTGTATTAGTTATTGCGTAAGACAACTACGCTTCAGTGATTTATCTTGGAGAAATACAACTGATGTTCTAGTCACAGCTTCGTAGTGGTGGAAATCGCTGAGGTATCGAAATGTTCTTACGAATCGGTCTCCACTACGCGTGATGTCTTTGCTGAACACTGACAACTTGTCTCAAAGAAATGGGCAAGACAATGCAGGGTCCAGTTTCTGATTTGCTTCGTAGTGTGGTTTCTATCCACAATACGATCCAGCAATCAAAGCGAAGTAGTAACCTTTTCTTCCCGTATGATGTATAAACGCTTATCACGGTTTTATTAGATGTGTCCTGAGACACGCCGTCAGTTTCCCTCATCTGTCGTTCGTTTTATAGCGTGTTTGGGTAAGTCACGAAATCAAGACATCTACAGTATGTTATTGCGGCGCATTCGATTTCAGGTGTGTTAAATTGCATCAATAAATGTTCATTCCAAACCCAATAGGAAGTCAATAGTAGAAGACTAAATACGGGCTGGTGAAATTGAAACTAGCATTGGTCAGTAGTACTTTATCGATCCGCATCTACGTGTTCTTATTATACTCAAATAATATCCATATATCCTATGAACGATATAATACAATAGTTATGGCATCTTTCCGCCATCGTTCAGATCATTTCCTCTACCGCTCCTGGTCCGGGTGACTACCACGGTTGCCCGTTTCGCCATATGGATCCGGATCTGTTACGCCAACGTCTCTCTTCTAGCGGCCGCTTGACGTCGGATTCAGTCGATACCATTGTTCAGCGTGCCAAAGAACGCCTTTACCACCTGTCCTGTCGTGAATATTTTCGCGCGATGCATAAACTCGATGCCGAGGCAATGTCTGGTATCACCATTCATCATCCGAACCAGTACTTCGAAGAGAGCCAACGTGTATTGCGTGGTGAAGGTGCCGGTGCGACCCGAACTGGAGCTGAACGAGTTCGTGTGAAAAAAGTTCAGCTGGCTGACTCGGTGCTTGAGTCCACCTTCATGGATGACGAAGCTATGGATACCATCTGCTCCGAAGCAACGAGTATAGTGGAAGATAGTGTTGTTGCGTGATTTGTCTCTTCATCCGTCGGGAATCCCCTGAGATTATTGTGTACAGCTATTTTTTTTATCAATAGTACTATCAGCTGTTTTCCTGTCAACACATGCTTCCTTTTTTTACTTTGACCTTTCGAGCTAGCACAAATGGTGTGTGTTGAAACTGTAATTTGCACCGGCCCTAAGTAAACTCTGATTGAAACAAGCCAATTACTTGCTGAACACTTTACACACCCAAGGGAATCTCGTTGCCACGTTCCATCGTATTTGTGTTGTCTCATCTTTTCAACGTCCAATTCCAACTCTCCAATCGCCGATCTCCCAAAATCCGAAAGTTGAATAGGAGGGTGTGCAAACGTGAAAACATGCTCAATATACATACATGAATTGTCGTTGAGTGTTCTACAACTTGTGCGCGATAACCTTTATATTGGAACGTTCCGGGGCAGATTTGACCATGAGCGCATTTCACGAGGTCTCTGAGTGGTTATTTTCCTCGTCTGGTAGAAATCGACCGCTTTCATGAGAATCTTCGACTTCCTGGTAATATGTACCTTGGAACCTTGGACTGACCGTTCTTGCAAATCGCTGTCATGCTTCGATTTATGCACGACTACAAGTCTCCACGTTGAGCGAAAGTTTTCTCAAGAGATTAATACAACAAACATTACGATCAGATAATCTAAATTCCATGTACTATCCAGGCTTATAGCATCAATTGTACAACCCAGTCCTGAGAAACAACATTGCACTCGAAAGAACCAGGGGATCGATAAAAAAAGTGATGCATTGTTCTTGCCTGCTAAAAACGACTGGTCTGTAGATCTGATTAATCTGTCTGGTCTGCAGTTTTGAAATTCTCGACTGGAGTGAGGCTATCCCCTCTAGCTCATAGAGGTGCACAAGACCAGAAGCCACAGGCCTAAATCAAGGGTTCCATGATTTTATCGAATAAAAACTATGGGAATCGAGACAATGTGTTCATGATATTCAATATTTGAGGGAAATTTTACAGAAACAATAAAACTGATGATAGAACGGAGTTTGTAGGATACTGTACAGAATTGAGAAGTTTGTGGTCTGGTCAGTCAAGAAACGTTGTACAAGTGAGACAAAATATAGCAAACTTTGTCTAACCGACCTTCGGTACAGACTCGGCGCCAGACAAATTCATCCAAAATTGAACTGAACTGCTCACGACAGTCAGTTTGCATTTCATCAATGAAGATAGCTAGCTGCTCCAACAACTCGTCCGCCTTCTGTATGGTAACGTTTCTCTCCGGATCCGCGACCAAATGGGCATAACCTTCAGGCAAATCCCCAAGTGGTCTGTATCCCGGCCAATCACTGGTGATGATTGTGGATCCGGGCTAAAACAATACAAGTTGTATTTTTGAAGTGATCAGAAAAAAACAAGACCTACCATCACTCGGTGTCGGATAAATCGGATTAGTAGCTTTTGGTTGCACCGTTCTTGCGGCAATCGAATTAAAAAACACTTGTTGCCGAACCGTTCCACTCCAGCCAGAGCACAAATTCGTGGAGGATCTAGGTAGGCTCCTTCGGCAATTTCAATCACGCCTTCCAGTCGATCGGTTTCGCGTTTCAAATGCTATAGTACAGTGCGTACAGTCATGGTGTAAACATGTGTGACCTTACCCAACTGCATACAGCGCGTAGTCGATTCAAGAACGTTGATATCACATTCGGAGATGCACCGGTTTCGGCACACATCTCCTCAAACGAATAACCATGCGTCCACATGTACATGAGATAGACGAGGATATCCAGAGATGACTTCAGTTTGTCAAATACGGATCGGACTCGAAGTGTGGCGCGTTTGCTACATTTGCGACAACGCCAATTATAATTATCACCATGGGAGATCTCTTTTTGAAGCAACATGGAAATAGGGCGAGGGCAATGAAGACAGTAAGATTCGTTGGCTATCAGTCGCCGTTCAGCCAACCAGATAAGGAGACGTGTTTGATCGAGTACAAACGTGCGAAAAGCCTCTTTCGTCATCTGTTCTGTGGTCCACTGATCTTCAAACAGGAAAGGTTTGCGGCAAATGCGCACTTTTTTCTTATCATTTGCCTCAAGTGAGGTAAATCTGAGATTAAACGAACCATGTTAACCAAGAATAAAAAAGGAATGGCTTACGCAGCAGACGAAAGTGAGCTTGGAACTCTACACGTGTTAAATTGTCAATATTAATCAACAAACTCACGGCCATAGATCCCCATCTTCGATATCGTCATTTTTGTCTTCTGTATCACTATTTTGCAAAAGGCCTCCTTGAAATGGAGGTGTGTTCATTGACGGACTAGTTTAGCGTGGTGAAACGAAGTGAACATTGACCTACTTGAATTCTAAAATATCGTTTGGTTCCTCCAGCACATTTCCAACGGGACTTTCTTGTTGCATAGCTTGAGGAGAGGCATCTTCGTCATCGGACTCACTGATCTCGAATTCCTGAGATGAGCAGAATTTTGCAATGGGGAAACGATACAAAATTGTTTAGATCAATAAGTTTCGCTTCTTCTGCTGATGTTAATAGGTGCCACGGGTAATCCGCATCAATAAGCAAAGTTTAGAATGAATGGAAGCGCGTGTTCCTAGCACTGGGCAAGCCGCCAGTGGAGCTTTTGTTCGACACTCAAGCACCTGCGTGTGAATGTTATACCTATAACATAGAATCTCGGTATATCAACTGCGTTCAAAACTATCTATATCGCAAGGAAGTCAACTAATGGTTTGTTCGTTGGCGCGATATGGCTAGGTTCTCCAAACAAAAATAAGAGATTTCTTCTCAATTTACAACCGGAACCTTTGACTGGCTATAGCCTGACCCGCAAGATGACAGTGCGATGTACGGAAACCGCAGTCTGTAGGGGGGGACGGACGGTGTACAGTTAGTTGGATCTTGCACTCTTGAGATGCGTTTCATACNAACAGAAGAAGTCCTGAGGCCAGCTCGTAGGCTTTCTCTTAAGAAGTTTGAAATCCGGGATTTCCAGCTCCCCTAAACGGGAAAATTTCTGCAGTTAAATCGATTGCTTTAAGTACGATTATATTGGCGGACCAAAATGTTGGTTGCACTTGAATCACACACCAAGACCGCCACCTGGCAATTGGTGGCTCAGTGGAAATCATGCGGATTTATCAACGTGAAAAATTCTTCGGGTTAGTTACATGCGACGGGTCTTGTATTATGATTAATGGTGCTTTACTGACAGTATCGCCCTCTTGGGAGGAGAGACTACTTCGTGCAATCTGGGGCTTTTAATTTGTATGCGACTTGGCACGGTAAAACAAGAGTGCCTGGTGCCTCTGAACAATCGAATGGGCTAATCCAAGCTAGATACTCTAGGTATGATTTTATAAATCACAATTCGTCTTAATGGTACAGTTGGCTAAGAATTAGAACTCTCCAATCGCTAGGCAAACGAAGCCAAATGGCATATCGTGTTACATGCTGGTCGTTACGTATTGGGGACGGTAGTTTCGTTTCGCAGTGGGTATTCTTCAAATGATTCAATGGCACGCTCAGAACCTTGATTAGTCTATGCTGAAATGAAACTTCATCGATCCCCGTTGACAGATTTTTCAATTCCCCTCGTTCAAATTGAATAAAACAAAACTATGGAATGTAAGCATTAGGACATGCACCAAAGAGTAAAGTGATCAGAGATCATCCACCAAAAAAACACCAGTTACCTCCGTATAAAATTGTTCGTCTTCTGCAGAGGATGGTAGTGGATGCTTTGCTCTCGGCATAGTCAATGTGACGTGGTCAAAAAGAGTTCACCGGACAATGACAACAGGTTTCTTAGTATTAAGTTGGGAGCCGAGCGCCGAAAATTAGTTGAAAGCTGCAAGTAAAAATGGACACGGCTTAACAGAAATTTCCAAACCGTAACAGGTTCAAAATGAGAGTTCAGTTTCAGTTTGTCCAATCGCTAACCACGTATTTTCGTGCGGTTTTGGCTGCTGTCTATTGGCCGCCGCATTTGGATAAAGGAGAAAGATAGGAAAGGGTTCTAAGGCAAAATACAGAATTTCAGTGGACTACGGTTACAAGGTTACGAGCAACACTGTTCACGAAAATCAGCCACTGCTGATTAGAATGATCCCGAGGTCCCCATCCAGGGGACCTAACGCAACCTGCATGATCGGGTTTCTTGGACAGTTGTCACACCCTCATGTCAGATCTGTTGACTTCCCTTAGCTTTGTCCACCTGGTACTTCTCGCAGCAAACGTCGCGTGCCGTGGCAACCTATTTAATGACGTGTAACACATGCCACAACCAACATCATCTATGGAGGTCCAGTGGGCGACCGCGACTGCTTAAAACTCCTCAGCGTTACTCGTGCGGTTGACCCAACAGAGTTGCACAATGCTGCGCTGAGAGCGGTGTTCAAACACCGACAGTTTCCTTAATGTTTCCTTAATGACCAGTTTTTCGCGCCGTATAGAAAAGAACTGGCCCTTCACGGACAGTCGGATGACGCGGCGGCGCCACAGCGTTCGCAAGTACCTATGGATCCTACTGTATGCGTGCCAACACTTCATCTGTAATGTTTCAGTTTCAGTTTGAACAACCATTAACCATGCATATTCCTGCGCCGGTTTTAAATGCGGTCTTTTGGATGCCCATTTGGAAGGACATTAGGAGGAGAAAGGAACTTCAAAGTGGAGTCGAAAAGAAAATGGAGAAGTTCAGTGGTCTAAGGTTGCGAAAAAATTGAGGAGATGCACGAACGCCACTGGTTGCGACACCCAGCCATATCACTCAGTGTCTCTAACCATCGGTAACATCATCCCGAGATCCCCGGCCAGGGAGCCTAACAGGACCTATGTGACCCAGTCTCCTGGTTAGGGTTTTCATACACTCGTGCTAGGTCTTAGCTTGACCACCCTTGGCTTTTTTCCTCTCTGTGTCTGCTTCGGCGAACATCGCTCGCCGTGGTAACCTATCTGATGACATGCGTAACACATGTCCCAACCAACGCAATCTATGGAGGTCGACCACTTGCTCCAGTGGGTGACCGCGGATACCCAAAACTCTGCGCCTAACCTCAGCATTGCTCATCCGGCTACCCCACCAGATTCCTGCAATGCTGCATAGAGAGCGGTGTTCAAACACCGACAGTCTGTCTTTATCCTGTTTTCTTAATGGTTAAGTTTTTGCACCGTATAGCAGCATTGGCCGAACTATCGCGGCATACACTCGACCCTTCACAGACAGCCGGAATTCGCGACGGCGCCACAGATGTCTCAATTTGGCAAACGCCAACCGAGCCTTCTGCATGCGAGCTGACAGTTCATCCGTGATGCGTCCACCAGGTGAGATGTAGCTGCCAAAATAACAACTTATCCACCTGCTCTATTACTTCCCCAGTTAGAGTGACGCTGGGTGCTGGACCGACCCAGTCTTCTAGTAGAATTTTACACTTTGAAGGTGCAAAACGTATACCGAATATGGCTACACTGGCATTCAATTTATCCAGAAATGCTTGCAACTTACCTGAATCTTCACTTGGTAGCACAATGTTGTCTGCATACTCTAGATCAGACAGTCTGCCACCTGAGAGTGTATCGATACCGCTATCCCAACACGAGGATAGGGCTGTTTCAAGAATCAGATCTATAACAAAGTTGAATAGAAATGGAGAGAAAGGGCAACCTTGTCGAACACCACTTTCCGCGGTGAACTCGGGCGAGAAAGTGCCGTAAGCCCGGACTCGACTTCGGCTATTAGTATAAAGCGATCGTAATACTGAAATTAACTTCTCCGACACACCTTTCAGAAAAAGGCAGCGCCAGAGTTTAGAGCGGTCGACTAAGTCGAAAGCCGGTTTCAGATCTAGGAAGATGGAAATGGTGGGTCTACGAAAGGAGTGTCTGTGTTTGGATTTGACGAAGTGTGAAGATGTGGTCGATACAATCTCGACCGGGTCTGAAATCAGCCTTGTTCTCACGCGTACACCGTTCACGTGCGGCAGACAAAAGACGGAGTATGATCCCGGCGAAAAGTTTAGAAATGATGTTAATTAAACCAATTCCTCTGTGGTTTTCACAAGAGGACCTGTCGCCCTTCTTGCAGATCGGTATGATCACCGCTTCACATCATTCAGCTGGAACCTCTTCCCTTTCCCACACTAAACCCAGGAGTTTTGTTAACTCCAAAATCAAGGTTGAACCTCCATCCTTAAGAAACCGATGGGGACAGCCCGTCGGGGCCGCAAGCCTTATACCTTTTAATATAGCTTGTTTCTCGGTAACCTGTACTTCAGATGGA